CCAAACTCGAAGCCCCAATACCAACGTCCTCCTCGCGCGGCCTCGGCAAAGCCACACCCTGCTCCATCCCGTACTGGTACAGCTCCTGCGGCGAGACATCCTCCACCACAAAATACTCCGCCGAAAACGAACCCCAGTGCAACCGATAGAACCAGTCCGGTACGTCGCCCTGGAAGGAGAAGAGCCGCCGTCCACGCAGCACCGCCTCGTCCAGCTCTAGGAGCGCGAGGCCCGCGGGACTGCCCAAAGGCACCCACGGGGGATCCACGAAGAGCAGGTTGACTCTTCGGCAGTCCCAGATCAGCCGCGACTTCACAATGCCACCAGTCTTGGGGTCGAAGTCCTTCGCCACCGTGAACAGCCCGACATGTTCGCGCACCCTCGTCACATATGTTATCATTCCAGCCTGCGCCATCCGCAGGGCAAGTGCCAAGCGCTCCTTCTTGCTCCGCCACGCCGGGTCCGAGTAGCTCTTGGTCGCCTCGTACTTCTCCCAGTCGACTTCCCCCGAGCCCTTGATCATCAGCTGGCCGGCCTCTGTGAGGTACCGCCCAGCGAGACTCGAGATCGCCGCCACCTCCAAACTCTGGGTCCCCGGCGCTGGGAGAGACACCTGCTCCGCTCTCAGAGGGCACAGGTCGCCCTTCCTCAACTGCGGTGAAGCCTTCGATGCCGTAGACGTCGTAGGCCTCGCTCCCTTCGCAAAATACTCTGTCGGGCTTCCTCCTGCCAAGCGGCTCAATGCCGCCCTGCCGTCGTTGATGGTCCCCCACTTCGCCCTCGCGGCGTGAAGGTCCCAGGCTTCCGTCACCAGTCTTTTCTGTAGCGGCGTACTCGCACTCCAGTCCGTCTGGCACGTCTGCTTGTCCGTCAGGGTCGATGGATGTATCCAACCATTCGAACAGCCCGTCGCCATACTCCTGATCGCCGCTATCGTCCTCGAAGTCCGCTGCCAGGTTGTCCTCAGCTCCTTCTCGGACAGGCTCGAACTCGACCTCCTCGACTGTAGTGGGAATGGGAGCCCAGGCAGACTCCTCAAGGGATCCCTCTCTCTCAAATCCTTCTCCCCAGTAGGCATCTGGGACCACCGAGCGACCTGCGCTCCGACGCACGGGAAAACCTGCTCGCCACAGAACGGCGCGAGGCCCCAAGTACAAGAAAGGCCTCGACGCTCCGACGCCGCCGTGGAAGACCCCACAGCCGATCGCCAGGAAGCTCACCAGCCCGATGTAGCACCACCACCCGAAAGACGTGTCCAGCAAGAAGCTCGGCACGAAAGCGGCTCGCCGCCGCGGCCGTGGTAGAGGGGATTGACCCCTCAGGCCTTGGCCAGAGCACACCACGATAGCTCCGGCCGCAACCTATTCGTCCTCGCCGGCAGGCTGCCCCGAGCGCACCTCACCCAGGTGCTTGCTGAGGATCGCCCGCCGCCTGAGCTTCTCCAGGACCTCGTCGTCGGCCCCCCTGTTCTCGCTGTTGGGGTCCCCGTCGAGGCGCAGGTACTCCTCCGCCAGACTCCAGTCGACCTTGGAGCGCCACTTGCCGCCGTGCTGCGCCTTAGGCCTCTGCCAGTCGCTCTTGCACTGCACCCGCTCGTAGGCCTTCCAGATCGAGTACAGGCGCAGGCAGGTCACCTCCGCGGCCTGCGAGTTGATCAGCTCGTCGTACTGCCCCTGGCTCATCATCCTGTCAAGGACCAGAGCCAGCATGTTCAGCTCCTGCGCGATGCCCGCGCCCTGCAGCTCCTTGGAGCGGAGCCACTCCTGCGTCTCCACGCGTGCGCTCCGTCCGCCCTTGTAGAGCCTCGCCAGCACTGTCGGCGCCACGCGGGCCCTGATCCCTCCCACGGGGGAGCCTGCCACGCGGCGATACTTCTCCAACGTCGTCAGCAAGCTCTCCTTTGGGTTCTTCGACTCCTCCTTCAGCTGCACGATCTGGTCCTTCAGGGGGTCATCGAGCTCGCCCAGGTCTCCAACCTTCTCCCAGGACGCCGCACTCGAACTCGGCGTGGGCGAGCCTGCATGCGCCCGGGTGCTCAAGCCCGAGTCCCGCTGCACCAGCTCCTCGTGCTCCGTCAGCTTCTTGATGAACGCATCCACCTCGGCCGAGCTGGGGTCGTCTCCTCTGGACGGCGGCGGCCCCGCGGGGGGCGGGGGAGGCGGGCCTGGCTCCGACGCCAGAGCCCCACTGCCGCAGGCAGGTCCTGCTCCCGCTCCGCCCCCGACATCCAGCCTCGACTTCAGCATACCCACAGCGTCGGCCAAGTCAGACTGCCCTCGAGCCAACTCCGCGAACAGGGTCTTGGTGTCCCGCTCGTCGCCACTCACATCACTCACGTCATCGCCAGCGTGCACCGACCCGCCGTCCGAGTCCGAGCCCGAGTCGCTGTCCGAGTCGACCTCCTTTCGGCACGAGCATCCGTAGGTCCAGACCCCGTAGATCACGATGAGAACGCAGCCCAGGTATGCCGCGCCCAGCTCGAGGTCGCCCGATTCGTACAGCTCCCCCAGGAACTCGCGGAAGTTGTCCAGGTCCTCGATCGCCTGCATCCCCGCCGAGACGGTGTGGTACCCTGCGGCGAAGAAGGACCCGAGATGCAGCCAACGCCACAGCCTCCAGCCCACAAAGAACACCGCTGCAGCACCACCCCACGTCTTGTGGGCCCACGCCGTCACCACGGTGGTCACGAGGCCCTTGCCGAACCAGGACGCCACCTTGGCCTTCGAGCTCGCCTTCTTGCCCTTCGTCAGGTTGGCCTTGGCACTCTCGGCACCAGCCTGTCCCAGCTCATGTCGCACAATGAGCCGCTCCGCGGCTATGATCGCCTGCTCTCTCTCCTTCTCATTCAGCCCTGGGTGCTCGGTCCAGGTCACTCCCTTCTTCGGGCGCGGCAGCATCCTCGCCTTGTCCCGCAGGTTGATGATCTGCACCCGCTTGGCGGGGTCGATCGCGGTCCAAACCAACGAGGTCCCTGGACCGACCCGACTGACCAGCAGCATCACCACCCCCGTGTTCCTCCCCTGCGTCTGGACGTAGACGCGGTTCCACCTGCTCCACGGCGCCATGAACCCTGCTGGCGACCCTCGCCACTCGGCGCCACCTCCGAGGTCGAGGGGCTCGATGAGGACCTCCTCGGACTCCCGCTGGCGCCCGCCGAAGACCTCCAGCAGCCCGTCCAGCTCGCAGAGGGCGAGCGCGGTCACCAGCAGCCAGCCGGGACGCCCGATGGCCGGCGTCGTGGCGGCGCCCGAGCCTGGCGGGCTCGGGGCGAGCAGGGGCTGGAAGCTACCCCTCTCTGAAGGCTCGAGTGCGGGCCTCGCCCGCGAAACCCGCGCCTCGAGCCGAAACTTTGCGCCAGGAGAGGAGGGACAAGCACGAGAGAGAATGCGCTAGTCCTCCACTTAATTTGCAGTTGAGGCGGCTATCTGAACGTTTACAGGGGGTGTGTAAAAGTGTGTTTAAAAACGCGTACTCACGCGCAACACCCGCGGTGGGGAGAGGGTCGGCCCTTCCGGGGGCAGCGGGCTCAAGCACTCTCCACGCATACCGCACGTCTGGGAAGGCGGAGAGCTCCGAAGGCCTCCCGCGCACCTCTAGAAGCTTCTCTGAGCCTGCTCTGAAGCCACGAGGGGGGGGGGGCCTCTCGGCAGGCGGGGGGGGGGGCACCTCGGAAGCCCCGCCGCGCCTCGCCGCAGGGCCCGCTCCCTCGCGCCTCCTTCCCTCTGGGCGCCCCGCCAGAGCTGCTCGGCATCGCCTCTCCGCTGGGCCCGACCGGGCTCGAGATGCCCAGCTGCCAGCGATCCGACGTGACCACCCTTGCCGCCGCCCCGATGCGGGGTTGGACAGACCTCCTGCCCTGATACGCCGATTGAGGCATTGGCCGTTCTCGGTTCGCGAGAGGGCGTGGCGGCCGTCGTTTTTGGCGTGTCCAGGTCCATCGGTTTCGGTCCCAGGCCGTTTTCACGAAGGGCAGGTCTACCAAAGGGAGGTTTGTCCACCGCCGCCCCGATCCGCTTCTCGGAGCCACGTGCCGACGCAGGCCGAGATCCGACGCCCGCTCCGATATGCGGTCGGTGCCGACGGATGCCGGCGCTCCCCCTGCGAGCTCAGGCAGCACGCGAGCTGCTTTATCAGAGGTTCGGCGCTCCACCGCCCCCGCCGTGGGACGCCGGCTTCTGTCGGGGGCGGAAAAGAGGGGGGTGATGGCTACATACGGGGGGTGGATATCATATGGCGGGGGCCATGATATTTCCCCAGACTTCATGGCGCCGCTTCTTATTTCATCACGTCCCTGGCCCCCCCGCTGGGCCGCGCACATGCCGCCGGTCATGATTTGCACCCCCCCCTCTTGGACACCCCCCTCTTGGCCGTTCCCGATTCTGGGACGCGGCGCGGGCCCCGGAGCCGGGGATCAGTTCCTACTTAGGACAAGTTCTTCATCCTGCGGAGTGACTGCATGCCCCAGAGAAGAACGTACAGTGGAGGCCCATGCCAAGAAGCACCCTCTCTCTCCAGAGTGCCCTGGGTTTCTTTGGTTCCGATGGTTTTGCCATGGAAAGCGCGACGTTCCCACACCCAGAATCACTGGGCGTCCTGGGGTCTCAGGGTTGGGTGTCTTGCGGAAGGTTCTTGTGGACAAGACTCCACTGTACAACCCCCTTCCACGATCCTCATGATTCTCCCCGGCCAAGACAGTTCTGGCCAGGAGTGGGGAGCGGCGGGGCTGAGCTTCGTTAGCTCGGGGGGACGTATGCATCGTCAGTCGAACCTTTTTACCATGGTTACCATTATCATCTTCATGGTTATCATCATGGTTATCAATATCATCGTCATTCGCCGAGTTCGCGAGGTGAGGATGTCTCAGGCGAAACCCTGTGATGATTGGGGGCATATGATTATGTTAACGGTCCCAGGACCCGTGGAGGGTCGGGCCGGAAACGACGGAGATACGTGCTCTTCCTCCACGAGATCCGTTCCCTCCATGTTAACCTCCCCCCCAGGGCGGAGTTCAAGACGCACGTGCCATCCGTCTTGGTCCTCCAGCGCTACGCCCGTGGCTACCTCGTCCGCATGAGGCCGCCCGCGGCGCCGGCCCGGCCCAGCGCCCAGCGCCTTTGGTCGTCGTCGGCGTGGTCGTCGTCGCTCGCGGATCGAGGCTTCCAGGCCTCTCGCCGCCGCAACCCGGGTTCCCCCCTGCCGTTCTGGCCAGAGCGTGCCCCGTGGAGAGGCCGACGTCGTCGTCGTCGTCGTCGTCTTGGCCTTTTTGGGGCCCCGTCGCCGCCGCGGCTGGACGGCGGCTGCAAAGGCTGGCTGACACACGGCCAGCGTACCGTCGGGGTCTTGACCTGAGGGACCCCAAATAGGGAGCGAGGCCCCATTTTTCCACAAGTTGAACTTCGATTTCCCATCGAAAACATAAGGAACACCTGAGGCAAGCTGTGAAACAATCAAGGAACACGGAGCCCCTCCCCAACGAAAAGGGTTCCTTCTTCAGCGCCCCGACTGTAGTATTCGACATATGGCCCCAGCTCGGGATCACTGCAGCAGATGGCCGACCTGTTTCAAGTACATTTGTGCGCGCATACGTTCGAGTCTTGATGATGAAGTTCATTGTGAGCCTCAGCTGTCGACATGTCACGTGGAACGCCCAGAACAGCTCCGTTGTTTGCGCGCGGCAGGCATCATATCGTCCGCTAAGGTTTTCGTGCTTCGAGCGCAATTTAAAAACCAGCGCGTGTGCACTGCACAGGATCCTTTCCAAATGACGGTGTCCCCTTGGCGCGCGCGTGGTCCGCATGGTAGTACGCCTCATATGGAAGTGCGCACGTGCTTCCCGCATTGAATCCTTTGATCTGGAGAGCGTTCGGGGCTGGATGATGCCTGGTCTTGTCTGGCATGGCATGATGGCAAGAGTACATGTTTTTTTTTTTTTTTTTTTTTTTTTTTTTTTTTTTTTTTTTTTTTTTTTTTTTAATAGAGGCTACAATATGCTCATACAAGCACACGTGCAGGATGTGTGCGTGTGGTGTGTAAGGTTTGTGGTCTGCGTTTTGTGTGTTGTGTGCGTGTGTTGTGCTGTGAGTTGTGAATCACGTGTGTGTGTGTGGCATGTGTGCTGCGCGTGTCACGTGTGTTAGGTGTTGGCGTTGTGTGTGAGTGTGTTGGCTGTGTTGTATGTGTGGCTGATGTGTGTGAGTGCGTGTGTGTGAGGGTGTGTTACGTGTGTATGCTCTGTGTGGTGTGGGTGTTATGTGACTGGTCTGTGTGTTATGTATGGTTTAGCTGGCGTGTTGTGCGTGTGCGTGCGTGTGCGTGCGTGTGTGTGTGTGTGTGTGTGTGTATGTGTATCATGTGCGTGTGCTGTACGTCGGTTCTCGATGCTGGGAGGATGTCTCAGGCGAAACTACCCTTATCTCATAATTGTGTTGAACAGGAGCTCGATGCCGGGAGGATGTCTCCAGCGAAATTGCAATGTTCGAACCTTCGGGCCTAACATTATTGAGTGTCAGTGTGTGTTGAAAGTTGTGTGATAAAAGGATTGGAGAAGGGTGTGTGTTTGGACCGTGACGCCGCCGTCTACAAGAGAGGTTCGTCCGCTTTTCAGCATGTTCAGGATTTCCTGAGCGACACGGCCAACGCAACAAAGCGCGGCTCCACAAGTAATCGCCTCTGAGCTCTTCTTCTCCGTAGAGGTGCGGATGATACTATCTCTATATACAAACATAGATGTATAAACATGTATATATATATATGTGCTATGCATGTCCCCATGCGTTTCAGATTGATTTGTGGGTTGTTGGTTTCCCTGCAAGCCCCCAGAGCAGGAACAGGAAGAAAGAGCCCCCCCCCATCACCACCACCATCATTATCACCATACCATGCCCCATCATGAATGATCATCGGCGCTCACCATCGCACACGCACGCATACACACAATCACACACATACATTCACACATTCATGCTGAGGACGTTTAGATCGGGAGCCTCGTCTGTACGTGAATGGCGAGGAAGCGTCGAGCGAGAGATGCCTCCCTACAGGGCCCGCGCGTCATGTTTAATCCGAGGCGACCAGTATCACCCTGTAAGTGTCGTCACTAATGGGCTCGTGAGGCTTGACGTTTGAGGGAGTCTCGAGTGAGCGAACCTCGAGGAAGTCTTGAGCGGGAGCCCCATCCTTATTAGGGGCCACATTCTATGATAGTCTTTCGAGGTGGCCATCCTAAAACCCGACATTGTCGTCATTTCTGGGCTTCTGAGGCTTGAAGCTTGTTGAAATTTTGGGCGGGAGCTTTGTCTGCGAGTGAATGGCCAGGAACATCTCGGGCGGGAGCTCCCTCCCTTTGGGGCCGGCACCTCAAGTTCGCAGTACGAAGCGGCCATCCTTATACCTTCAACTGTCGTTACTGCTGGGCTCATGAGGCTTGAATATTGAGGAAGGTTAGAGCGGCATCCTCGTTTGTGAGTGAATGGCAAGGAAGCCTCGAGCGGAAGAAACCTTTCTACGGGGCCCGCGCTTCATGCTAGTAATCCAACCTGTAACTGTCATCACTTTTGGGCCCCTGAGGCCTGAATCTTGAGGATGACTCGAGCGGGAGCCTCGTCTATGAGTGAATCTCGAGGAAATCCGACGCGGGAGCCCCTCTCACGATTGTGCCCGCACTTCAAGTCAGTCCTCACAGGCGGTCATCCTTCAGCCTGTCACTATTTTTTGTTGGGTTCTTGAGGCCTGAATTCGGATGAAGTCTCGAGCGGGAGCCTCGTCTGTGCGCGAATAGCGAGGAAGCCTCGAGCTGGAGCCCCTTCTTTGTGGGGCCCGCGCTTCACGTCAGCAGTCCGAGGCAAGCATCGGCCGGCCTGTACAGGGATTCTGGAAAAAGTGGCCAGGGCCAGACCTACTCTTTCCAGCCCTGGTCGGTGTCCTGTCGGTTTGCCCGCCCTGGCGACCGAGTCCCAATTGGTTCGCGGTTGTTCCAGCCCTTGTCGGTTTTTCCAGCCCTGGCAACTTCCACGTTCGCTGAGTCCTCCTCCTCCTCCTCCTTCTCCTCTTCGTCCTCCTCCTCCTCCCCCTCCTCCTCCCCCTCTCCTCCTCCTCCTCCTCCTCCTCCTCCTTCTCCTCCTCCTCCTCCTCCTCCTCCTCCCATCCACTGTTTCAGACTTCTCTGTAATTGTCGCCGCTCGTTGGGCTCCTGGGGCCTGCGTCAGGAGGACGTCTCGAGCGGGCCCCCCGCTCCCGGGAAGAGCGGCCTCTAGCCTTGGCTCCGCCGTACCCCTTCGCGGACAAATTGCGTATGTGTTTCTAGATCCTGGTCGGCATCTTTCCTCGTTCTGGCCCCCAATGCGGGCATCATCGTTTTGCCGGCCATGGTCGCAGCTGTCAGTGTCGATCACCATCCCTCGCGGCCCCGATAGCACCCTCGAACTGATGCTGGCTCAAGGCTCTCCCGCAGCCAGCTTGATCCGCGAGGTTTTCCAACCCTGCCATCGATGACCTCGGCCATGGAGCTGGCAGAGGTCGGTGGCGAGGCCGAGGACAGCACAACCCACGACCGCCCCTAGCCGGGACGCCCACTCCCGACCCTGTGATCCGGGGGTCCTGGCTCGGGGGTGGGAGCGGTTGCCACCCCGTACCCCCAGGACCCCCTGGATCAACAGGTCGGGAGTGGGGGGCCCTGGCTGGGGGCGGGGGCGGGCTGTGCTGTCCTCGGAGGCGAGCGGGTCGGAGCAGTTTTTTGTCCAGGACGCTCGCGCCCGGCGCTCGCCCTGGCGAACGGCGGGCGGCGCCGCCGCGGGGCTCCTGCTGGTGGCCGGCGCGGGCGGGGGGGCGGCGCACTTTGCGCTGCGCGAGCCGGCCTCGAGCGTGGGTGCCCGCGAGAGCAAGCAGCAGACGATCGCGCTGCCCGCGCGCGACCAGTGCTCCAACTGGGACGAGGACTGCTACAGCAAGGGGTGCTGCAACGTGGCGGGCCTGACGTGCTTCGAGACCAAGCCAGGGAAGGGCGAGTGCCTGAAGAACTGCACGCCCAGCGATTCCAAGCTCTGCAACCAGCCGCAGGCGATCATGGAGCCGGTCTTGGCGGACGCTGTCCTGTACGACCCGACGCTGTATTGTTTCGCGATCGTAATGCAGGACATCGGCAGCACGAAGAAGTATTACGACCTGGAGCTTCTCCAGGGAGCGTATGCGAAGGGAACCACCATCTTTGGTTGTGATTCTTGGGGGGTGTTCAGCGACGCAGACGCCGAGCTTGCGCCCGGCGTTCCCGTCACGAAGGTGGATGACGTCGACGGGGACTTCCACTTCGCGAAGCGGGAAGAGACAGGCACCTGGCTGAACACAGGCCTGCATTACCAGGCTTGGAAGGCCATTCAGGCGGAGGGCAAGTACGCCACTGCCAACTGGGTCGTGAAACTCGATGCGGACGCGGTGATGATCCCGAGCCGCCTGAAGTATTGGCTGTCGGACAAGTACGTCCCGCCTCAGGGCATCTACCTCGAGAATTGCCAATACGTCAAGTATGGTTGGTTCGGCAGCCTGGAGATCTTCTCGAAGGTCGCGTTCGAGACGCTCCTGGGATCGATGGCCTCTTGCAAGAACGGTGGGATCGACTGGAAGGTGGGCATTGATGGCGGCAAGTACGGGCCCATGGGCGAGGACCTGTTCGCGCAAACCTGCCTGGACGCGAACGGCGTCAAGCGCGGGATCGGATACGGCTCCAAGCTGGACGGGACGTGCGAGGCGGACCGGCCCCTCTCGGAGAAGAAGAACAAGAAGTGGAAGCCCAACTGCGACACCGTCGCCACCACGACGTACCACCCGCTCATGAAGCCGGAGGACTACTGGGCCTGCTACGAGGCCACCATGAAGGCGTTCCCGGTGTACCCGCCCCCCTGATCTCTTGCAGGCCGCGTTCAGGGGGGGGGGCGATAACAATGGAGGGGGCGGCGAGGGCTGCCGAAAGAGGGACACTTCTAGGGCCCCTCCCCCCCCCAAGGGGCCCTGTCCCTTCAGGCCCCAAAGTGGGGCCCCGAGGGCCCGAAAGAGGGCACCCGTCCTCCCGAACCCCCTCTTCTTC